TCTGGTTTTCAATCTTCCTAAATTCTCCCACACCACTCCGCTCCTCCGCTCCCTTCACTGGCTTCCGGTAACTGCTAGAATCCACTTCAAGACACTGGTACTTGCTTACCATGCTGCGAATGGATCTGGCCCTTCCTACATCCAGGACATGGTTAAACCGTACACCCCAGCGCGTGCACTACGCTCTGCATCAGCCAAACGACTCGTTGCGCCCTCGCTGCGAGGGGGACCCAAGTTCCCATCGGCGAAAACACGTGGGTTTGCTGTCCTGGCTCCAAGATGGTGGAATGAGCTCCCCATTTGACATCAGGACGGCAGATAGCTTGCACATCTTCCGGCGCAAACTGAAAACTCATCTCTTTCGACTCCACTTCGAGCGTTAGAACGATTAACGAAGCACTTTTATACTAATAAAGGACTGGATTACCTAAAGCCAGTTGAGTAGCACTTGAAATGTTTGGCTCTATGAAACCTGATATACTTATATGATTCTGTTTTCTTCAAGGTTGTGTCTTCCTGGTCGAATGTACTTATTGTAAGTCGCTTTGGATAAAAGCGTCAGCTAAATGCAATGTAATTTAAGTGGGGGGGACCTAACCTCATGCTCCCCCGGGAAGATTACATATTGAAGTTAAAAGCATCAATCTGGTGCACTTTGAGAGCAACATTACATATACATTATATATAATATATAATATATAATATATTATAATAATAATTATATATAATATATAATATATTATAATAATAATATATATATATTATATATATATAATATATACATCTCTCAACACCAGATGAAACAGAACTGTAAGCAGATTCTTCTTTTTGGATATTTTACAAATCCCTCCCCTTTCAAACTCTATTCTTGTTGTTTTTAACAACTTTTTTGTTTCTGTCATATAGTATTTTATACCTGTTTTTCATCTAGTCTCTAATGTCTCATTAATAACTAAATGATCATATCAAGGTGTGCCTTAACCTCACTGAGCTGAGGTTATTTGAGCCTCTCAGGAGAGAGCTCTCTTCCACCTGGTTGTAGAAAAGCTCTTTAAGTTCGTTAGCATAGCTAGCTAACCAGATGCTAATAACAACAGATCGCCACTGTGCTTACAACTAAAGACACAGCCACGCAAACACTGTGGCATGTGTACGGCTCCTTATGGGTAGCCTTACTGCAATATTTGAAGGGCTGGAGCGGCGTTCCGGTGCTCTCTGTCAGCACTCCTTTCAGACGAGACATACCACGTGAAGACACGTTACGCTCGTGTTGTGTTCATGGAACCTGTCCTTGGCCAGGAAAAACAGGTACTCGCTTGTTTAATTATTTTTGCGGTCTAGATTTCTTCTTCTTTTTTGAAGTGAGAAGTCTTCCGTCAGTCGGACTGACGGACGGACGGACTCCCCCCCCCACCCCCAAAACGAAAACTCTTCGGTTCTCCAAGAATTACACAAGTCACCCAAATCAGCATTAAAAAAGCGGGAGGCGCCGAAAATCCCCTATTAATGTATTGATTATAGCTCCGGGTCCGTATAGGTCGGCGTCCGGATCCGGACCGCGGTCCGCCTGTTGCCGACCCCTGCTGTATACCATCGGGTCACCACGGCGCAGACGGACCCGGTGGAATACAGACAATACAACGTAAAGCTGTCTCCATCTCCTGGTTCTTCCTTTCAGTCTGACCGTTGGATTGAGGATGGAAACCGGATGGCAGACTGACCGTGGCCCCAATGAGCGTGCAGAATTCCCTCCAGAACACCAAGGTAAATTGGGGACCACGATCGGAAACCACATCGGTAGGTAGCCCAAGGAGCCGGAACATGTGGAACAGGACCAGCTCCGCCGTCTTTTTAGCTGAGGGGAGCTTGGGTATCGGCACAAAATGAGCCATCTTACTGAACCGGTCTACCACCGTCAAGATGGCAGTTTGCCCGTTGGACGGTGGCAGACCAGTAACAAAGTCCAGAGAAATGTGGGACCAGGGGCGATGAGGGATAGGCAGAGGTTGTAGGAGACCAGCAGGAGCCTGGTGAGAAGACTTGTGTTGATTGCACACAGGGCAGGCATTAACAAATTCCCTGGTGTCCTCCTTAAGTGTTGCCCACCAGAACCTTTGCTGGACTATCTCCCGGGTACGTTGGATACCAGAATGGCAGGTGAGTCTGGAGTTGTGGGCCCACTGGATAACATCAGACCTCAACATCTGCGGAACGAACAGGCGGTTCGGAGGACAAGCACTGGGTCCCGGCTGGCCCTCCAGGGCGGCCTTGACCCTCTCCTCCACTTCCTAGGTGAGGGCGGCGACGAGCTGAGGAGTCGGAAGGATGGTGTCCGAGCCTCTGGGAATATTCCCTCCCTCCCCAAACTGACGAGATAGAGCATCAGCCTTAATATTCAGAGAACCTGGGCGGTAGGAGAGAGATAAATTGAACCGAGTGAAAAAGAGGGCCCATCTAGCCTGTCGGGAATTCAGTCTGCGGGCCGACCGGATGTAGTCCAAAAAGAGAGACAGAGGATGTGTGAAACTCACACTTCTCCGTTTTAACAAACAGCGAGTTCTCCAGCAATCTCTTGAGAACCGCCTGGACGTGGTGCACGTGTTCTTTCAGAGTCTTGGAAAAGATCAGGATGTCATCCAAGTAAATAAATACGTGCCAGTCCAACATGTCACGGAGCACGTCATTTACCAACGCCTGGAATACTGCAGGGGTGTTGGTAAATCCAAAAGGCATCACCAGATACTCGTAGTGCCCCGAGGCGGTGTTGAAGGCGGTCTTCCACTCATCCCCCTCGCGAATACGTACCAAGTGGTATGCGTTACGCAAGTCCAGCTTGGTGAATATGGTTGCTCCCTGCAGCAACTTGAATGCAGAGGAGATAAGAGGCAGTGGGTATCGATTCTTTATAGTAATGTCATTAAGACCCCGAAAGTCGATACAGGTCCTTAGGGTCTTGTCTTTCTTCTCGACAAAGAAGAACCCCGCTCCAGCGGGTGATGAGGAAGGGCGAATAATCCCAGCCGCCAGAGAGTTATTGATATACGTCTCCATGGAAACTCTTTCCGGAGCAGACAGGGAGTACAATCGACCCCTGGGAGGGCTGGTGCCGGGATGCAGGTCTATGGCACAGTCGTAAGGCCGGTGTGGTGGTAGGGAAGTAGCCCTCGTCTTGCTGAATACTTCCTTGAAGTACAGATATTCCGGTGGAACCCCTGTAACATCCGGAACTTGGCTGGGGTTCACCGAACGCTGAGGCACGGCAGCCTGTTTCAGACAGATCTGATGATAAGAGGGGCTCCACCCCCAAATGGCTCCCGTCTCCCAGTCAATGTTAGGATTGTGGCAGCGGAGCCATGGGTAACCCAGGATAAGCGGGATATGTGGAGACCGGAGAACATGAAACTGAATAGTTTCGTGATGGTTCCCGGACAGGAGCATGTGAACGGGTACAGTCTGATGAGTCACTGTCCCCAGCAGGTGACCGTCTAAGGCGCTGTCTGGAACAGGGCCAGATAAGGGAACCCGGTCTATTCCCAACTGCAGCATAAGCTCTTCGTCCATAATACTCGCGTCCGAACCAGAGTCAATAACAACTGCATGAGCCTGAGAGCTATCCGGTAATAGCAACCTGCCGTGGCTCAATGGTCTCTGAGCGGGAACAAATCCAGGGGTTTGGCTCACCAGTATGTTCCCCATTACTGCTGAGCCTTGCCTTTTACTGGGCAGCGAGGAACAAAATGGCTAGCCCGGCCGCAGTAGAGACATAAGTCACTTCGTCTGCGATGTTCACGCAGGCAAGGCAGGATAGTCCAAGGACAGGCAGGATCAGGGATCAGGCAGAGCAGGCAGGTCGGGGACAGGCAGGGTCGGAACCGGGTAGGCAATCTAGTAACAAACGTGTGAAAGACTAGCATAAGGCAAAGTACGATCTGGCAACGGGTGTGTTTCTGGTGAGGATTTAAATACTGGCAGTAAAGCTAATGGGTGCAGAAGAGAAAGAGAGTGAGAACAAACGTGGGTGTTGTGTAGTGGAAATGTCCACTCTATCCTGATATGTTTAAACCAAATGCTTCTCATTTGGTTAGATGTGCTGTTTTCCTCTATCTACTCTACTTCAAGGCCACAGAGCTGTTTTGGCTACTGGGTTGAGACTCACACAAAGTCACACGAGAACTTCTACAGCTCAAGGCCAGGTGTCTAATAACAATGTGACCGTGTGAAGACAGATTTCTTACCTTCTCATCATTTCTGCTATATAAGCTTTGCTGCCATATTGAACTGCGCACACTCGCGCAGATTATTCTATACTCTGTGGGACCTGTGTCTATATTTATTGTATTGTAATATATATATTTGAAGCTTCAAATAAATACCAGAAAGACAACTCTGTCTGATTCAGCATTTATTTGATTTGATCACTCTGACTTGTACTCTACAGTATTGGGGTTTTTAGATTTCCATAACAATTGGCGCTGCGAGCAGGGTCTCTGCAAGTTTGATTGGGAACACCTACGAACGCTGGTTGGTCGCTCCAGGATCCTCGGATTCCCTCTACTCCGCGACAAAAACAGTACGGGACGAGAGGACCAGCGGCGGGGGTGGAACTGATTGACTTCACGAGATCAAACGAACTCGAAAGGCTTCCAATACTGGGTGAGAAGTGCAGTGTCTAAATTGTTTAAAGTTAAACGTAATTAAAACTCCATGACATTTATGCGAGGGACTGCTCGAATCAGGGTTTATCCCGTCGTAGATCGTGGGTTTACGATCAGTTTTTGCGTGATTTGTACTGAGAAACAAATATCACATCATCGACGGATGAAAAAAAAAGAAAGGTGTTTAAACACCCCTTGTTTTGTCAGGGGTGGTTTGGTAACATCTAGAGACTTTGTCATGGGAGCAAAGCAGAGGGGACGAGTACACTCTCCTGAGGGTCCAATTGTGGATGTTGTCATGGCTTGGCTCTCAGCCACAACAAACGCGCGACAGAACACGAGGGCGTGAATAGGAAACAAGAGTTTATTCACTGCTGCTGAAGGACACAAACAGGCGAAACAAACTACGAAACAAGAGGTCAGCTGGTCTTCGCGCTGCGTCCTCCTGCCAGAGAGAGAGCGAGAGCGAGATCCGGCCCGGTCCTTTATCCGGCTAGCTCCAGCCGCCAGGTGTCCTCAATCCCAGCTGATAGACCAAAGGGAAAACCTTAAAGGAACATACACACACCAGAGATAACAAGGCAGGGGTCGTCACACCCCCCCCCCCTTAAAGTCGGTGTCCCCAGGACCACCGGCAGACCAACCCTGACAAAACAAAAAAAACACCAGTAATGAACAACAAAAATACCAGACATACGGAACCCCACTTCCAACAAAACCAACAATTGCAACATACAACCCTCACACTGCCAGCCGCTCCTCCCACACCCAGCCACATCTTTAGCAACACAGGTAAGCAACCTGAGAAGCACACTTTAAAAGGATGGGCAGAGCGAGAACGGTTTATTAAACAGTATGACAGACAATACATTACCGTCACGGCCCATGCTTCCTCAGTTGTAGCAGTTAGTTTCACTGGCTTTACTGCCATGCACCGCCACGTGGCCAATGTCGCCACACCTGTAACATTTCACCCTACTGCAACGTCTCTGGATGTGACCAAGCCCACCGCAGGAATAGCACTTCCGGTCGTTGGCATGCCCACAATCGCGAGCCATGTGTCCTTGGTCTCCACACCGATAGCAGGACATTTCCTTGCCTCTTCCTCGACCCCTGTTGCCGCCGCCACGACCACCATCAACGCTGCCGCCACCACGACCACCATCAACGCCACGACCACTTTGACTAGTGGGACAATGTTTGGTCTTCTGTTTTCTAAACATGTTTTTGTCCATAGCACGAGTGATCACACCAGAGGGCGTGACGTCTGCCAACACTGTAGAGCTCTCTTCAGACCTTGACTCAATCGGACCGCCAGTCACTAAAAGCACAGGGGGAACATCAGTCCAGACTCTGCTACCTGCCAAACCGTTGCCCAGGATGAACTGTATCCCCTCGATTGGCAAAGCTGGACGTACACCAACAGCCACCTCACCCTTAAAAAGACCACAATCAATATACATCCTATGAACAGGAATAGGAAGAACTTTTAATCCCAGTCCCCTACTCAGAAGGGTGTCACCAGTGTCACTTTCATAAGACAGAGGCAAAACAGAGTCAACAATATAGGAGTCAAAAGCCCCTGTGTCTCGCAAGATTTTGATTGGAACTCTGACATTACTACCTACCAATGACACCAAGCCGTCTCGTATAAATGGAGCATAAGATGCCAAAATCTCAGATCCACCTAAGTGGGATGTAAGCACATCGGCAACACCGCTGCTTTCCACAGGCGCAGCCAACGCAACAGGCCCAACAAAATATCTTCCTCCCTCAGATTTTGCTCTAAGCGCAGGACAGTCTGCCTTCCAATGGCCTTTTTCGCGACAGTAGTGGCAAATATCATTATTATCCACCTCAGATTTGACCAAACCCAAGTTCCTTGGCTCCATCCCAAATGAACCAACCTTTCTACTTCCCTCAAAAACAGCCATGGCCCCAGAGCGCCCTCCGAACCTGCTCTTATGAAGCAACACAAACTCATCAGCTGCCACAGCAGCTTCAGCCGCAGAAGTGACCCTGTGTTCTGTTATGTAAGTAGCAATCTTGTCTGGAAGAATATTTTTGAACTGTTCCAAAGTCATGAGCTCACACAAATCGTCAAAAGTAGTGACGTCAAGAGCAGTTAACCAACGCTTAAAATGAACAGACAAATCCCTCGCCATCTCCACATATGTTTGATCTTGTTTTTGCTCAAAGGACCTAAAACGCTGTCGATAGGCCTCTGGCACCAGTTCATATGCTCTAAGCACCGCCGATTTTATTTTACTATAGCTAGAGCTATCCTCAAGACATAAGGAGGAATATGCTGACTGCGCTCTCCCTGTGAGAACACACTGAAGCATCAGAGCGCAGTCCGCATCAGGCCAATCTCTAGCCCTAGCGACACAATCAAAAAGCAAAAAAAAAGTGTCAGGATCACTTTCATTAAATTGCGGTAACAAGCGTAAGTTGTTAGCATCGAACCGATGAGGAGACCTGGGCACCTGTTCACCGTGCCACTCACCCAACACCGCACCATCTCTGACCATAGAAAGACGTTGTCCTTCCATATCCAGTTTGGCTCTCTCAGTCTCCTGCCGCATCCGCTCAACTGCAATTTCCTTTTCACACTCCATCTCATACCTCATTTTGTCATGACTCAGCTGCAACAATAACATCTCCTTCTGCTGCTCAAAGGACAGTGAGCTAGCCTGAAAAAGAGGTTTTAACAAAACCCCCTCTTCCTTTGCAGCAAACACTCCTGTCTCACTTAATGTCGACACTATAGAGTCTTTTATGTTGTCTTTCACCCTTCTATCACCGACAATAGACACAGAGAAATGCTCAGCAATTAAGAGCAGCTGCTCTCTTGAGAAAGTGGCAAGAGACTCCTGAGACGGAGCTTCAATAAATGCCTCTACGTCAGCCATCTTAATTTACACCGACCCCTCACCGGAACACAACACCGGACCTTTAAACCGAAAGAAGAGAACAAAAACAAAAACAAAAACAAAAACCAACCGGACAGATACCACCACGTTTATTATGCGTCCAAAGTGGAACACTAATTTTTTGATTGGAGTTTCCCCACTAACTCACCATCCCACTGACTAATCTCCTCCCTAGTCTTCATGCAGTTACTTGTGGTGGGTATTTATGCACTGGAGACCGCTAATCCAGCAAAGCGACTAGCAAGCTAGCAACACTACTGAGACCACGGCCATGCTCCCAAGCCAAGGCTTCAACCACTTTCTCCGCAACACTACACACCCCACTCAACAATCCCAAGGGAACCGCCGCTTAACCTGCCAGGGAAAACTCTGCACCGTTTCGCACTGCTCCACATGCAACGCACCAACCAACCCACACAAATCTCACCTATCCGTTGCTGTATCACAGATAAAAAGAAGTGGACGAGCCACCAGCTGTCATGGCTTGGCTCTCAGCCACAACAAACGCACGACAGAACACGAGGGCGTGAATAGGAAACAAGAGTTTATTCACTGCTGCTGAAGGACACAAACAGGCGAAACAAACTACGAAACAAGAGGTCAGCTGGTCTTCGCGCTGCGTCCTCCTGCCAGAGAGAGAGCGAGAGCGAGATCCGGCCCGGTCCTTTATCCGGCTAGCTCCAGCCGCCAGGTGTCCTCAATCCCAGCTGATAGACCAAAGGGAAAACCTTAAAGGAACATACACACACCAGAGATAACAAGGCAGGGGTCGTCACAATGTCATGAGAGTAAAATATGGTGAGGACAGTCTGTCTAAATTAAATATATGGACGGAAATGTTCGGATTTCCAAAGGGAGGTTTTTGAGTAAATTAAAAATCAAGAACCTAAAGAATAAATTACAAGAAGAAGTAGAAATACAAATAAAGTTAAAGTTAAATACTTATATAGAAAACTGGACACTCACAGAAAGTGTTTATAATAAATACTGGGAGGATTAAGCAGAATGCCGTGAAAGAAGGCAGTTGGCCTTGGGCATTAAAGAAAATATTAAGGTTGAAGATGAATGTGAAGAAAAGAAGGAAAATAAATTATTTCCAAAACCATGTAAACCCCAGACATCTCTGTGTTCTTCCATTGCAGGCCTGAATGACCTCTCCTCGACTGGGTATCCTTTCCCTCCCCCGGGGTACAACCCTGGCAATCCGGCTGGCCCACCTCAACCACCTCCACCGCCACTACAAGTCCCAGCCATGCAGTCAACAAGCTCGTCCACCCCCATCAGCCCCAAGTAGATGGGGACAACAGCGGGATAAACAAACCCAAGCCCAAGCAGGTGTTTGGGCAACACACCTCAGTAATGCCTTTCTCAACGGACTCACAGACACAGCGCAAGCTACGCAGAATGCTGGTCGCTCACAATACCGAGGGAGAGGCAGAAGAGGTTTTCCGAGGCAGAAGACGAGAAGCAAGACCTTCATTTGAGAAAGATGTTTCAAGTGTGGCAGTGTTGAACATTGGATTATGGGACTGCTCACAGAACACTGGCGAGTGGAGGCAGAGAGGGGGACAGCAAGGACGGGGCCATTCACAATCAGACTGACCTACACCAGATGGGGAGGAAGGGACCCGATCGAGCGAGACGGAAATTCAGCCAGCAGCATCGAACCAGGGAAGTGACACACACACACACACATCATGCTATTGAGTAAAATGTAGAAGACATGCCTGTGGTTTTATATATATATTTGAAATATGACAGTGAAACAGCATTTGAGAAATGTCCCACACTAACTTTAGCTATCATGGGTGTTGATGTTCTATAGTAAAAAGGGCAGATTTGCCTGATTGCAAATTTAGTGGTAGATGTATGCACTCAATAGGAGCGGCTGGGGTGACTGTAAAGGAGAAGTTTTTGTATCACTTCACAGTAGAGATAACGGTGATGATAGTCAATCCATTTCCCACATCAGTAAAAAAACAGTTTCTTTTATCATCTGTCTGCCCTATAAATACTGGGCAGAGATCTGATTCTCCGGTCCGGCTTAGATCTCATTTTTCAACAAATGAGGGGTTTAAAGTCCGGCAGCCATCTCCTACGATGGTTCAAAAACTGGCATTTGATGATAAAGAACTGTGTGAATGTGTATCTAATGGCTGCTGACATATCCTGATTCTCAGGCGTTGTTGCGGTTTGACTGATCAACGTGTTTTCCACCTGCGGTGTTCATGGAAGCTTCTTTCTCCATTGTACTAACGTTGTTGATGATCCGTGTAAATGCTACTGTATGATGAGAGTTTTCTGTTAGAATGTGTGAATGAGGAGCTCATGCTTAAAACTATGCTTGAAGTTTGCTGCGCAGCTGGTTCCTGTTGCACTCGCACCCACACAACACAAACTGTGTCAAATCCCAGGGGCGGTCCACACATTTCACTAGCCAGGGGCCCCACTGATAGATAGAGGGATTTGGGTCTAATCGTTAAAGATTTGGAGTCAGTCACTGATTGGACATCTACACACACAGAATATGTCATGTACACATGTACATGTGTCACGTGACATGTATCAAATGAAAATGTGCACGAACGTAGCTGTTCTGCGCACATTGCTGTTGGTTGAGGATGATGAGGTCATTCTCATATCTCTGAGCTTCCTGCCGCATTATCAGATGGGCCATGCTCACTCTGTGCAGCTCAGAGATATGACGTAGGTTTAATGTCCACGTTGATGGACTCAGTGTTTACCTCTCTGCTTAAACAAGGGGTAATTATTCCGTGTAACGATTCCGGTACGCACTCCAGTGTTTCCTGTCAAAAAGATCAGAGACAAAACCTCCTGACGAGTGGAGATTTGTCCAGGATTTACAGCTGTAAATGCTATGCAGCTATGCACGCTCGTCCCAAATCCTTATCTGATTCTTTCCCAAGTTCCAGTCTATGCAGCATTTTTTTTTTACTGTCATAAGATCTCTCAAATGCATCTTTCAGTGTTCCTGTACATAAAGACAGTCAATTTTGTTCACATTTGAATATAAGGGTAAACCTTACACATTCACACGTTTGTGTCAAGGCTACTGTGTACAACCAGGCATTGTGTACAAGGTTGGCCTCTCTCCAAGTTTCTAAAGGCACCGCTCTCATACAAGGTCAGTTTGATGACCTCATGATTTATAGCACCCACAGCAGAACAGTGTGGAGCTGATACCATTTCCTTGTTAAAATACCTCGCAGCCGAAGGCCAGAAGGCTAGTTTGTCTAAACTCCAATATGTACAAAGAACAGTTACATTTTTGGGTCATGTCATTTCAGGAGAGGGGAAAACGCTTTCAGATAAGCGTATTGCATCATTGGCTGCTCTGCCAAAACCTGTCACTAAGCGACAGATGATGTCATTCTTGCGTATGTGTTCATAACACACGGCTGTTGTTATGCTTGCTGTGATGTTACATTAGTCCGTTCTCTGCTTGTAATTATGCCGTTACAAGTTTAATATTCTGAAAGCCATTACTTTGTTTATTCGAAAACAGATGAAAACAAACCGTCTTTTATACAAAATGGAAGTATTATACAAGTAAAACTACATGTTGCTTTAATCCCATGTAATTGTAGAATGAACACAGTCTTCCTTTGTATAAGTCAGGTGTCTTAAGTAGTCAAAATTACCTACAAATCATTGTACACATTGGTAAATATTATTTTCCACTTGTTACCATTGTGAGGCTATTTTTATGCAGCTCTGCGTGATTTTGTAGCTACAATTCAGACTAATACACTACTAGAGGTGGAATAAGTACTCAGATCTTGTACTTGAGTAAAAGTAGAAGTACCAGAGTGGTACAGTAAAAGTCCTGCATTCAAAATGTTCCTCAAGTAAAAGTAGAAAAGTATTCTCATCAAAATATAGTGAAAGTAGCGACAGTAAAAGTATTAATTGTGCAGATTGGTCCATTTCAGAATAATATATATGATATGTTTTATAATGATTGATCATGAAACTGTTCTCAAAGCTGGTAAAGGTGCAGCTAGTTTGAAGTACTTTGTATACTGCAGGGTAGCTGGTGGATTTACTCCAGGTGGAACTAAAGTCTGATTTAACACTTGATTAGATTTCACATCATTCATCCAGATCTGTGAAGTAACTAAAGGTATTAAATACTTGTAGTGAAGGAAAAGTACACCATGTACCTCTGACTTATGTTCACTGCCAACCTAAAAGTACCTAAAAGAATAGTAATCAATGATGTTTTGAAAAGTTATTTGGCTGATTGTTTTTATATCGGCTCAGCCAGGTTATATGGGAGCCCAGTCTACGTACACTCTAAAAACAAATGCTTGGCTTAACAAAGAGAATCAAGGCAATAGGTTGCATCGATGGTTATTGAGTTAAGACAACTTCTAATGAAATGTTGTTAAAGCAACAAAGTTATTTGAGTTAGGGGAGAAGGCGTTTCCTCTACAATCAGGTGTTTTCAATTACCACTTACTTAATCATTGGTAGCATAAACACAAGTTTTAAGTTGATTACTCCAAACGTTCCAACTTGTGTTACCGTAGGATTTAAATGTAATCTTAAGTTGTGTATACTTAATTACCACATGTTGAACATGGACAGATGTTTTTAATTTGACAGCCATTTGTAAATTAAGTTGCTCCAAATAATATTGTATTCAATGGGGTTTTTCTCTTAGCTTATTCATGTTTTTGCCTTTAAAGAAAGAAATTAATTGATTCCACAACAAAAATATTAGGCAATTCACTTTTTATTTTTGAACTGCAGTTGTTTATTTCAACACATGATGTTTCAATCAGGAGAGTTTGAATTTCAAGTTGTATTTGAATGACAAGAGATGACACTCACCTTAAAATGTCCTTTGTATATTTCTATTTGTCTTAACTGTGGGAACTTATCCAGTCATCTTAAGTGGGAGTGGACTTGAAATCCTAAACTCAAGGTGTAGAACAATAAGTTATCAAGCCAATTGAATTACAATACCTCAACTTCAATTTAGTTTGAAGTCAATTAACGCAGAAATCAGAGTTTAAATAACACAATATTAAGTTGATGTAATTACCAACATTATTACGTCAACACAACTTATAAATTAATGTTGCAACTTCAACTGTTTATCTAAATCAATTAACTCACATTTTTATCTTGCAACCAGTGCATTTAATTAAGTGGAGGTGAAAGGTCGCTTGAATTCGTTTTTAGACGTACAGATCACTCATTTTGATATTAATATTAAACTTAGTTTTATTTTCTTTAATTTTTCATCCTCGTGTAGAATGCTATCACGAAACACACATTTGGTTGTTTATAGCATAAAGAACATCTGAGTTAATGTGAGGTAGGGAAATACTCATTTGAGTATGTGCATATAAATATGTAATTTACAACAGCTATAAGATGCTTGAAAAGTGCTTGAATTTGATTTTGGAAAAGGTGTAAGAACCCTCTTATGCCTTTGCCTGAAGACGGTGACGAACTTCTCATGGTGTGCACACCTAGACCGGACTTAAAAGACGTTCCTCTGACCAACGCTGACCTCATTTTGTATGATGATGGGTCTGCCTCTCGCGACCAAGGGGGCACTAATCGGGTGTTTTTTTCCTGTTGTTTCAGATTCTGCTGTACTCCGTTCCGGACCAATCCCATGTCACCTCTCAGCACAAGCAGCAGAGCTCATCGCACTAACTGAAGCCTGCACGTTTGCAGAAGGCAAAACCGTGACTATTTACACTGACTCACGCTATGCTTTTGGGGTAGTGCACGATTTTGTGGCTATTTGGAAGTGTAGACAATTTCTGCAAGCAGTACAGACCCAGTTTCCCTAAGAAATTGGGTCTGCTAATTTTATCTGCTGACTCAGCCGCAAAGGCAGCTGCTCTGATTCCTCTCGCACCTCACGCACAATCATTTGTTAGAATCCCTGTCTCCTCCTTCACTGACAACATGTCGTCACTTCAGCAGCTAGCTACACCAGTTGAGAAGGCTCGGTGGAAGGCTGTTGGGGCTGTTTTTGACACATGGGTTGGACAATGTGTCAAAAGGGGGGATGTTAGAGGCTATAAATCAGGAGTGGTTCTGAAGGGGGGTGAAGCATGCCTAATTTGCATTATGCAAAATTCATTTGAGCACCTAATGCTGGATTTCATTGAGTTTAGCCCATCAGAGAACATCTTAAATTAGAACAACGGTTCACATTTTGCTAAAGAGGGAACTGCACAATCAAAAACAAACTATCAAAATGCTGTGCAGACACAGGTCTGTCATGGACACGAGCTCTGCCCATTGTGCTGATGTACATGCGGATGTGGGAACGAACACGGAGCCAACTCAGCCATTTGAAATCCTTTTTGGGGCTCCTCCACAGATTGGACTCAAGGCTCCAGGATGTCCTCTTCCCTCCACAACTTTGTGTGAGGATGCTATGTTGCTATGTTGTATGTTAACCTGTCATCCACTTTAGCGACTGCCACTGGTCCACTTAACCATCTCCGACCCGGCGACTTCGTGCTGGTCAAGGATTTCCGGAGAAAGAGCTGGAAATCCAATCGTGGGCAAGGTACCTACCTGCTTCTGGTCAACCAGACAGCGGTCAAGGTCGCCGAGAGAGCTACGTGGGTCCACGGCAGCCACTGCAAGGTCGTAGTCACAGGAAAGGAGAAACGGTAGAAGCAGAAGACAACAAGTGACGTGTCCTAGTCACCAACGGAAGCAGACGACAACAAGTGACGTGTCCTAGTCACCAACGGAAGACGACAACAAGTGACGTGTCCAAGTCACCACCAGCACCACACTTGCACTACATACACCAAAACACACTACACACAAGGTGTCACGAGCGAGTGCCAGCTGAGCGGTTCCATATGCTCTCTGGTTCCTCGTTTGAGTCTGACTGTCCGTGTCACAAAATCAACCGAGGGAATACACACACACCCCATGGAGCATTCCCACCTCGTGATGACGGCTCGCCTGGGAAAACGACAACGCAACCGTGAGCAATACTACCGGAGAGCCTGGACAATCATAAAATGGTTCCTCTGCATACTTGCCATGATAGTTGTGTTAGGACTAGTCCTATATTTTATGTATCCATGGTCAGCACACAGCATGTCAGCCAAATCGAGGTATCTAAGAGGTACATGGGGAGAGCAGGGCGAACCACATGGGCAGAGGGGCTGGTCAAGACAGGGATTGGTAACATTACTCTAAGGGATGGGGAAGATAGCACAGTGCAGTTACGATGTTTACAATATCTCGTATTGTCGCATATTCGGTGCCCCTGGAAGAATCCTTTCTAACGTAGCATTCCCTGCTCTATCAAGTTCTGGCTCCCCTCTGGATAGGTACATGCACTCTAGTGGATTTGAATCCAGCCATCACTGTCCTCATGTCCTTAATGTACACGACACATCATTACCCAGAGTTCCAACACCACGAACACCACAAGGTAAAAAGCCCATAACATAGATACCTTACACGTTCGGCTAGAGAACCTCACTTACGAGACGACGCAAGGCTTCCAGGTCATGCCCCATTCATAATAGCCTCTAGGAACATGCTCATGCAGCACCAATTTGCTCTTGACCTGTGTCATATTATATGTCTGTTTGATTATCCCAATACTGAAGAAGTGCGTTTCCAGCATGGTATCCTCAGCTTTCGTTCAGTATACTGCTATTCCATTACATGACAATCCTTTGCGCCACAGTGAGATAGACCAGCTAGAATCAGAAGAGTCTGATTCCGACACTACAATATAATCAATATAATCATGTGAATCGAGTGTACTCTCCTCCTTGTATGCTTACATTATATTGGAGTCTGTCCTCCACAAAAACAGCCAATTTTCTATGATATATTTGTGATGTGTTTACTTAAACCAGCGATGGAGTGTATTCATTGATGTGTTATATCAGTCTATCCTGTCATTTTTTTTTTTTATTGATCAAGTATGATCAAAAGGGGGGAATGTAGTGGAAATGTCCACTCTATCCTGATATGTTTAAACCAAATGCTTCTCATTTGGTTAGATGTGCTGTTTTCCTCTATCTACTCTACTTCAAGGCCACAGAGCTGTTTTGGCTACTGGGTTGAGACTCACACAAAGTCACACGAGAACTTCTACAGCTCAAGGCCAGGTGTCTAATAACAATGTGACCGTGTGAAGACAGATTTCTTACCTTCTCATCATTTCTGCTATATAAGCTTTGCTGCCATATTGAACTGCGCACACTCGCGCAGATTATTCTATACTCTGTGGGACCTGTGTCTATATTTATTGTATTGTAATATATATATTTGAAGATTCAAATAAATACCAGAAAGACAACTCTGTCTGATTCAGCATTTATTTGATTTGATCACTCTGACTTGTACTCTACAGTATTGGGGTTTTTAGATTTCCATAACAGTGGTTAACAGGTGAGACAGGTGAATGGAAAACTACTGGTGAATGATGGAGCAGACTGTGACAGCTTCAGGTGATGGAGCTTCAGGTGATGGAGCTTCAGGTGATGGAGCTTCAGGTGATGGAGCTTCAGGTGATGCAGCTTCAGGTGATGGAGCTTAAGGTGATGCAGCTTCAGGTGGAGCTTCCGGTGATGGAGCTTCCGGTGATGGAGCTTCCGGTGATGGAGCTTCAGGTGATGCAGCTTCAGGTGATGCAGCTTCAGGTGATGCAGCTTCAGGTGATGCAGCTTCAGGTGATGCAGCTTCAGGTGATGCAGCTTCAGGTGATGGAGCTTCAGGTGATGGAGCTTCAGGTGATGGAGCTTAAGGTGATGGAGCTTAAGGTGATGCAGCTTCAGGTGATGCAGCTTCAGGTGGAGCTTCCGGTGATGGAGCTTCAGGTGATGGAGCTTCAGGTGATGGAGCTTCAGGTGATGGAGCTTCAGGTGATGGAGCTTCAGGTGATGGAGCTTCAGGTGATGGAGCTTAAGGTGATGCAGCTTCAGGTGATGCAGCTTCAGGTGGAGCTTCAGGTGATGGAGCTTCAGGTGGAGCTTCCGGTGATGGAGCTTCAGGTGATGGAGCTTCAGGTGATGGAGCTTCAGGTGATGCAGCTTCAGGTGATGTAGCTTCAGGTGGAGCTTCCGGTGATGTAGCTTCAGGTGGAAACTAGACTCTGATCTGCTCCTCTTAAGGAGCTTAGGTCCAGAATACATGAATATGAAACACGTACAGAATAAATTCAACATACACTTACGCCGTTATCTCCCAGGATGTCCAGCTTCTTCATCAACTCACTGATCACAATGTCCTGAGGAACAGGAGAAACGTGAGTCAGCAGAAATACCAATGACTCAGCGATGTGCCATGGCGATGTACCTGAGTCAGAAGTGAAGTACCGTCACACCTGAGGATCACCGCGAGTTATTAACAGGTTGCTGTCACTCACCGGGACGCCCTCTGCCTCGCAGTAGATCTGAAGAGGACTGAGGCCTTCTGGGAAATTTAGTTGATGGAAGTTAATGGCAGGTGAGCGTCGCTCCCTCTCCTGAAGAATAATAACAACAAGGTTAACTACCTAGTTAACAGCATGTTGTTTACCTCAGTGTAACGGTTTAGTGTGTTGCCGTTTACATCAGTATGACTGTTTAGTGTGTTGGTGTTTACGTCAGTCTGACTGTTTAACATATTGTTGTTGTTTACATCAGTTCTTACCTCCAGCTCCAGGATCCTGAACTCCAGCAGTTCGTTCTGGTCTCTGATGTCCTGGATCTCGTTCTCCAGCTGCATCTCTTCAGCTTCCATCTGCCTCACCTGAGAACCCCCCCCCCCCCCACATGGAGTCAGTTACCTAACACTGCTATGAACTACATCCAGAAGGTTTTGAGACTGCGTGAGCTTCAGTGTATAGTGTGCGTTAGCTTCAGTGTATAGTGTGCGTGAGCTTCAGTGTATAGTGTGCGTTAGCTTCAGTGTATAGTGTGCGTTAGCTTCAATGTATAGTGTGCATTAGCTTCAGTGTATAGTGTGCGTTAGCTTCAGTTTATAGTGTGCGTTAGCTTCAATGTATAGTGTGCATTAGCTTCAGTGTATAGTGTGCGTGAGCTTCAGTGTATAGTGTGCGTGAGCTTCAGTGTATAGTGTGCGTGAGCTTCAGTGTATAGTGTGCGTTAGCTTCAGTGTATAGTGTGCGTTAGCTTCAGTGTATAGTGTGCGTGAGCTTCAGTGTATAGTGTGCGTTAGCTTCAGTGTATAGTGTGCGTTAGCTTCAGTGTATAGTGTGCGTTAGCTTCAGTGTATAGTATGCGTTAGCTTCAGTGTATAGTGTGCGTTAGCTTCAGTGTATAGTGTGCGTTAGCTTCAGTGTATAGTGTGCGTTAGCTTCAGTGTATAGTGTGCGTTAGCTTCAGTGTATAGTGTGCGTTAGCTTCAGTGTATAGTGTGCGTTAGCTTCAGTGTATAGTGTGCGTTAGCTTCAGTGGATAGTGTGCAACTCGATTTTGACAGGAAAGCAACTGGAGACTTCTAGAATTGTGTGAGTAACATTCTGTTTTTAGACTTCTCTGTTTCAGTGTGTGTACTCTTTATCAATGCTCTGTAGTTGATCTGACTGAAATTGTGATTTTAAATCTCAAAACCGCTACAGTATCTGTCAGGCAGAAACTTGGGACAAGTAATTTGACTGAAACCTTAAAACTGAACTAACTGACTGCTAGGGTTAACTTTGATTTAAACATTTGTAGAATACTAAGAGCTTTATTGAGTAGGTGTAACTGTATTAAGGGTTAAACTCATAACTTTATAACTTAGGGTTTAATGTAATTGTAAAACCATTGGGCCACAATAACAAGTCAGGAGGGAGCCAGTCTAGATTTCCTTTTGAGGGCCACCAGCTGCAGAGAGTTAACTAATTAAAGGGACGTGGCCCCACAGCTGTGAGAACTCAGCAATCAGGTGTCCATTTTAGGTAGCACTTTCCTGGAGCATCAGCTTTAGCGTCAGACAGGCTAAGACTGGCAAAGACATTGGAGTCCTGCGGGAGTCACGAGGGAGGCAAATCCTACTTTGATTGAGCTAAAGTATCGCTGGTGTTTTATTTTATTTGGTTGTTTAGCCCCTCATGCTATAATCATGTGTATTTTCTCCATTCCTGTTTATGTGTCTTCTCGCAATTATCACCCGTGTATCTTGTAATCGATATAACCGGCCTGCTCTCGTCTATCCCACATGCTCCACTGAGATCCAACATCTAGCTTCAGGCGGCCTGTGGAACTGCCAATCAGCTGTTCCTAAGGCCGACTTCATCTCTGGCTACGCCTCCCTGCAGTCTCTGGATTTCCTTGCTCTCACTGAGACGTGGATTACTGCATCCAACACATCCACCCCAGCAGCTCTCTCCACAGCATATTCCTTCTCCCATACACCCAGACCCACTGGCAGAGGAGGTGGCACTGGTCTCCTGCTCTCTCCCAAATGGAGCTTTTCCCTCTTCAAGCTACCTAACTTCACTCCTTCCACCTTTGAATTCCATGCCGTCACAGTAACCCATCCTGTACAATGAACCATTGTTGTTCTCTACCGTCCACCAGGCGCCTTGGGGGACTTCTTGGAGGAATTAGATCATTTCCTCTCACACATCCCTGAAACTGGTCCTCCCGCTGTACTTCTCAGAGACTTCAACCTCCAGACGGGGAAGATAGACAAACTAACATCTCTGTTAACCGCCTTTGCTTTCTCACTGTCTCCGTCCCCACCAACTCATAAAGCTGGAAATGTCCTTGATCTCATATTCTCAAGGACCTGCTCTACTTCTAACCTCTCTGTAAACCCACTCCACACATCCCATCACTTCTTCATTTCATTCTCTCTACCCCTTTCCAAACATAACAAACTAATCTCTTCTCATCCTGCACCTGTCCGCCGTAACCTTCGTTCCCTCTCCCCCTCTACCTTTGCCTCATCGGTGCTCTCAGCCCTCCCTTCCTCTGACTCGTTCCAACTCCTACCTCCAAACTCTGCTGCAGAAACTCTCCTCTCTACTCTCTCATCCTCTCTGGACTCTCTCTGTCCTCTCACATCTCGGCAGGCTCGTCAGTCCCCTCCTGCTCTCTGGCTAAATGACGCACTGCATGCTAATAGAACCGTCCTTCGGGCAGCAGAGCGGAAATGGTGGAAATCCAAACACCGTGACGACCTATCAGGCTCTCCTCTCCTCTTTCTCTGCTTCAATCTCTCAGGCAAAAAGCACTTTCTTTCAAGATAAGATCCAATCTTCCTATTCCAATCCCAAACAACTATTTTCCATCTTCTTCTCCCTCCTGGACCCCCCCAAAGCCCCTTCCCCTCCTCCCTTCTGTCAAGCGACTTTGTTAACCACTTTGAAAAAAAGGTTGATGATATTCGCTGTTCTTTTTCTGACTCACCTCTACTCACCGCTGGGTCACCAGATCCTTCTTTCACCCACACACTGACCTCCTTTTCCCCTCTCTCTCCAAGTGAGGTTCTTACCCTCATTACCTCTGCCCGCCCTACCACCTGTCCTCTGGACCCTATCCCTTCAAACCTCCTTCAGACTATCGCTCCTGATATTCTACCATTTCTCTCCCATTTCATCAACACTTTTCTAACTTCTGGTCACTTTCCAAACAGTCTCAAGGAGGCAAGAGTAAACCCTCTCCTAAAGAAACCCACTCTCAACCCGTCTGATGTTATAAACTACAGGCCTGTCTCTCTCCTCCCGTTCCTGTCTAAAACACTTGAACGCGCTGTCTTTAAACAACTCTCCTGCTATCTCCATCAGAACAACCTTCTGGATCCGCACCAGTCTGGTTTCAAGGCAGGTCACTCCACAGAAACTGCCCTCCTTGCTGTCTCTGAGGAACTGCACACTGCTAAAGCAGCCTCCCTCTCCTCTGTCATCATCCTTCTGGACCTGTCTGCTGCATTCGACACGGTGAATCATCAGATCCTCCTTCGCACTCTCCAAGAACTTGGAGTTTCAAGCTCTGCACTTTCCGTCCTCACCTCATACCTCAAAGACCGCAGCTACAGGGTTACTTGGAGAGGGTCAGAGTCCGACCCTTGTCAATTAACTACAGGGGTCCCTCAGGGCTCTGTTCTTGGTCCCCTCCTCTTCTCCCTGTACACAAACTCGCTCGGATCAGTCATTAGCCCGCATGGTTTTTCATACCACTGCTACGCTGACGACACCCAATTAATTCTGTCCTTTACCCGCTCAGAGACCCAGGTCGTCGCACGCATCTCTGCTTGTCTAGCTGACATCTCTCAGTGGATGTCTGCTCATCACCTCAAGCTCAACCTTGACAAGACTGAACTGCTTTTCCTTCCGGGAAAAGATTGTCCCACTCTTGACCTAACAATCAACATTGGCACCTCTGTTGTTTCCCCGACTAAGACTGCAAGGAATCTGGGTGTGACCCTAGATAACAACCTGTCCTTCACTGCAAACATCGCTGCTACAACCCGCTGCTGCAGATACACGCTTTACAACATCAGGAGGATGCGTCCCCAGCTGACCCAGAAAGCGACGCAGGTTCTGGTCCAGGCTCTCGTCATCTCACGCCTAGACTACTGCAACTCCCTCCTGGCTGGTCTACCTGCATGTGCCATCCGACCTCTGCAGCTCATCCAGAATGCAGCTGCTCGCCTGGTCTTCAACCTTCCTAAATTCTCCCACACCACGCCGCTCCTCCGCTGCCTTTACTGGCTTCCGATAACTGCTAGAATGGACTTGCGTACCATGCTGCGAATGGATCTGGCCCTTCCTACATCCAGGACATGGTTAAAGCGTACACCCCAGCACGTGCACTCCGCTCTGCATCAACCAAACGGATCGCTGCACCCTCGCTGCGAAGGGGACCCAAGTTCCCATCAGCAAAAACACGTGGGTTTGCTATCCTGGCTCCAGGATGGTGGAATGAGCTCCCCATTGACATCAAGACAGCAGATAGCTTACACACCTTCCGGCGCAGACTGAAAACTCATCTCTTTCGACTCCACTTCGAGCGATAGAACTATTAACAAAGCACTTATATACTAATAAAGGGCTGGCTTATCTAAAGCCAGTTGAGTAGCACTTGAAATGTTTTTGCTCTATGAAGCCTGATGTACTTTATGATTCTGTTTTCCTCAAGTTTGTATTTTGTTGGTCGAACGCACTTATTGTAAGTCGCTTTGGATAAAAGCGTCAGCTAAATGCAATGTAATGTAATGTAATGTGTGCGTGAGCTTCAGTGTATAGTGTGCGTTAGCTTCAATGACTGTCGTCATAGATAATGGTGATAATACTGAATGATCATATGATCATGTAAAGTTTGCCTCACCTTCTCCACCAGCTGCTGGTTCCTCTGATACAACGCCTGCTTCTCCTCCACCCACTGCACATCCTGAGGGACAGAATATTGAATGCACAATATTCACATCTCGAACCTCTCAGATTACTGCTCTACGTTCTATGTTCTAAGTTTTTCGTCAGATCAGTCAGGCAGAGCCAAGAGTCTGTATGTTTTTCTGCAAACTGAAAAAAATTAGCTCTAAGTTTCCCAGTCTGTGTGGGTGTGTGTGTGTGTTACCAGTCCTTGTTGCTTCAGTGCTGACTCCAGATCGGCGACTCTGGTTTGATATCGACTGATTTCACTCAGCAGCTGTTCTCTGTTCTGAAACACAGAGTGAAAACCATTCACCTGCTAGAACCCTGTATGTTACAACACTGTCTGTTAGAACCCCGTTTTTTCACAGATGTTAGAACCCTGTCTGTGTCAGATCATAGATGTTAGAGCGCCTGTGTCGGCGCGCCGCTGTGGGAAGATGGCGCCTTTGTCGGCTCGCCGCTCCCTCAGCTCTCTGCTTTTGTTTTATGTTTGTCAGAATGTCTTTGCTCTGCTCGTCTACGATCGCCAAGCTCTCCTCCACCTCAGACCCTCACTGGAGTTTATACTGCTGCCCAAACCTACATCTGGCAACCGTAAATCGACTCCCCCCCCCTCTACTGTCAGATATTCCCACCTACCTGCGCCGGTTGCCCTGCATCCTGCCTCGCCGAAAGCGCTTTAGACGACGGGGAAAGCGTGGTGGCGCGCTCGTCCATCAAAAAGCACACCTGACGGCTTCTTCTGGGACTTATCCACGCATCAGATGTCATGGCCCTCCCGCTGCACGCTATGTGAGGGATTGATGGATTCGCCTTGTCTTTCCGGAGCTGCGGCCTCTGCTGGGCCCGCTGGCAGCTCCTCCTGCCCGACTGACTGCTCCCGGTCCGCGCGGCGTTCAACACGCACATCTTCGTCAGCTGAGACGCGCTACACCTTCGGCCAGCCCGGAGAGAAAACTCTGCATGGCTTTGCTAAATGCTAGGTCAATAGCAAACAAGACGTTCCTGTTAAACGACTTCTTCACCTCTCATGATCTGGATTTGATGTTCCTGACGGAGACCTGGGTCCACACCGGCGAGTATGTACCGTTTTCTGAACTTCTTCCTCCTGACTGTACTTTCTTCAGCTCCCCCCGTACCACCGGCCAGTGTTTAGAGCTAGCCTCCAATGCCGATTGCTTCACCCTGTAACTAGCTACGCTAGCTTTGAGTTGCAGCTTTTTGAATTGAACCTAGCCTCACCTATACTCTGCGCAGTCGTGTATCGTCCGCCAAAGTGCAATAAGGATTTCATAAATGACTTTTCTGACTTTCTGTCCGGGATCATGGTGAAATATGATCGTGTTTTGATCTGCGGAGACTTTAATGTCCATGTGTGCTGCGAGTCTAAACCTCTGGTTAGGGACTTTTTAAATCTCCTTGATTCTTTTGGTCTCATTCAGTCTGTGGCTGGTCCAACACATGATAAAGGACACACCTTAGACTTAGTATTATCGTTTGGACTGTCTATCTCTGTGGATGAAATCTGTGCAGGAAGGCGTATCTCAGACCATTTACCGGTTCTGTTTACAACCTCGATCCCTTCTGCAGGAGTCGAATCACGTTCCCCTGCGCGTCGCCTGCGTTCAATTAACCCCTTGACTGCCTCACAGTTCTCTGATGTTTTTAATGCTTCTTCGATCAGTAAATTAGAGGTGAACTGTGTTTTTAGTGCGGATGAGCTGATCTCCATGTTTGACTCGACATGTACCCTAATACTGGATTCTGTTGCTCCTTTTACGCTTAGACAAAACAAAGATCTCTCAGAGCCGTGGCTCAATGACTGTACTCGTGCTCTTAGACGAGCTTGCAGGCGTGCAGAGAGAAAATGGAAAAAGGATAAACTCCATGTCTCCTTAGAAATTCTTCGTGCTTGCCTCTCCGATTATCAGACGGCAGTCAAAGCCAAAACAGAGCACATTTCTCTGTTCATCTCCAAAAACAGCCATAAACCTCAGGTTATTTTTTATGTCCTCAACTCGATCATTAATCCCTGTGATGCTTCTTCAATTGTGCCATCAACTAGTTTCTGTGATAAGTTTCTTACATTTTTTTATCAAAAAAATATCTGCTCTTAGTCTAGCCCACACTAATGCTACCCCAGCCCTGGAACGAGTAGTCTACGGCCAGCTGCAGTCTTTCTTAACCACGCATGGAATCCACGAAAAGTTTCAGTCTGGCTTCAAACCCATGCATAGTACTGAAACAGCCCTTTTAAGAGTTTTTAATGATCTGCTCCTAGCCGCCGACTCAGGTAGCTCAGCTGTCTTGGTGCTGTTGGACCTGACAGCTGCCTTGGACACTGTGGACCATAGCATCCTGTTGTCGCGGCTCGAACAGTCCGCAGGCATCACAGGCTCTGCCCTTGCATGGTTCAGGTCTTACCTGACAGACCGTAGCTTCTCAGTGCAGCTAGGTGCCTTCTCCTCTGCCAAAGCCCCTCTTACCTGTGGGGTTCCCCAAGGCTCGATCCTGGGCCCCATCCTCTTTTTACTGTACATATTCAATTCTTACAAAACACAATATTCCCTTCCATTGTTACGCCTACGATGTACAGATCTATCTGCCTCTCAATTCAAATGTCAAACACTCACTACAGCAGTTGATGGACTGCTTGATAGAGATCAAATCCTGGCTGAGCAACAACTTCCTTAACCTCAACGAGAGCAAGACTGAGGTCATCTTTTTTGGACCCCAACCTCCAGCCTCTCCGGTTGATATTCTGGGCTCTCTCAATAAAAACATCCTCCCCTCTCTCACGAACCTTGGAGTGACCTTCACTAGCACTTTCAAATTCGACAAGCAGCTCAGCACCGTAGTCAAATCCTGCTTTTTTAAAATAAGACTATTGGCCAAAACCAAGTCGTATTTATCTTTATAATACCTAGAAAGGGTTATTAATGGCTTTGTAACCTCGAGACTGGACTATTGTAACGCTCTGTACATGGATATGGACCAGGCCTCAATTAGACGCCTGCTGCTAGTTCAGAACGCAGCTGCACGTCTTCTGACTGGCCACAAAAAGCGTGACCATATCACCCCAATTCTGGCCTCACTACACTGGCTTCCAATTAGTTTCCGAATTGATTTTAAAATCCTTTTATTTGTTTTTAAAGCCCTAAATGGGCTGGCTCCGGCCTATATAGCTGAACTCCTCCATCGCTACACCCCAGGCAGAGCCTTAAGATCGGCTGATCAGCTACTGCTGGTAGTGCCCAAGACCAGGCTCAAAACCAGAGGGCACAGAGCCTTCGCAGCAGCTGGCCCTAGGCTCTGGAACACTCTGCCCCAAATCCTCACTAAAAACACACTTCTTCTCCCTGGCCTTCTAGTCAGAGTGGAGCATGACACCTGACTATTCCCTGTGTTTTTGTTTTTTGTATTTATTTTATTGTGATTCTAGTAATGTGTTTTTATTACATGTACAGCACTTTGGCTCGACCAAAAATTGCTTTTAAATGTGCTTTATAAATAAAACTTGATTTGATTTAGAATCCGGTTCTTTGACCACAGGTGTTAGAACCCACCCGGATCTCCTTCTCAGGATCGTAGGTTCCCCCGCTGGTTTCTGCCAGCAGAGCGTAAGCTCTCTGCAGAGCTTGGTACTCCTGAGTCAGCTGACGGAAACGGAACTCCGCCTCCTCGCGCACACACACCTGGAACAGGAACATGGGAGTGAGAAGGCGGGTTCTCTGTGGCTAATCCTGTTAACAACAATGTGTGTGTGTGTACCTCCTCTGGCTCTGTATCTGGAGTTCTGTCGGTGTGAAACGACAAAGACGATCCATCAGAGTCCACAGAAGCTTCTTCATCGTAGCCGTAGAACGTCTCTATGACCTGAGAGGGAGACAATGTTACTGGGACTGGAACCTCAAGTCCCTACAGACGCGCCTAGTAACAGCAAAAGTATTAATGTTAGTTGGAATAGTAGTACTATCAGTATTACTGTGAACCCTCACCCTGCAGGCTCTGAAGGTCCGTTTCCTCCTGACTGAATCCTGGCGTCTGTACCTCAGCAACATGTCTCTCTCCTGCAGGAAACACACAAACACACACCCCTAGTATTTACAGTCTCCTTTGTTTGGGTTGATTGAATATATTTTACATAGTAATTAGAGTAATGTTTTTTTTCTGTAGTTTTCTTTGTGAGGAAGTGAAATACTAACGATAACATTCTTCACATAACCCGCTGTCTCCAGAGCCTGGAACGCACACACAGAGGTTAGAGCTGTTGTTATTATAACAGTATATAGCAGTAATGCTGTGAGTACTCTAGAACAGAATGTAGAAGTAATACTGTGAGTACTGTACAACAGAATTTATATGTGTGTAACAGTACTTCACCTTTGACAGGTCGTCAATGACGTGTTGTTGCTCCAGAACTTGTAACCGTAGAAACTCCATCTCTCTCTCGTCCTGGCTGTAACCATGGTAACTGGAGCGGCTGCGGTCCAGGTCATTCAAAGAATTCGGTCTCCGCTGAAATATGTAAATAAATCATAAACATGTCGATAAATCATAACAACCTACAACCCTTCTGTGCAGGTGTGAGGTAAAGGGTGAGGGGTTACCATAGCTACCATCTCCATGTTTTCCTGCGTGACGAAGCGCAGCTTGTTGTCGAGGCGACGCAGCGATAGCGCCATCTCCTCGTTCTTCCTGCTCAGACACCGGTTCTTATCCAGCAGAGGCAGGAACTGACTCTCCGTCTCCCGCAGCCGCTTCAGCTGCACACAGTAGACACAAAATACTGCAAATACTGCACACAGTAGACACAAAATACTGCAAATACTGCACACAGTAGCCTACTCACAACATACTGTAAACACTGCGCACAGTACACAGTGAATACTGCACACATTACACACAAAATACTGTCAACACTGCACACAGTACACATAGTGAATACTGCACACATCACACACAGTAAACACTGCACACAGTACATAGTGAATACTGCACACAGTACACACAAAATACTGTCAACACTGCACACAGTACCAGTTCGTTGCGTTCCTCCGACAGCAGAGCGTTCCGATCCTCCAGCTTCCTCACCACGGCGCTGAGCTCAGCGATTTTTAACTGAAACCTTCTAGTGTCCCGTTCCTCCTGAGACTACAAACACACAAACACACACACATAGTTACAAGAGTAGGAGATTAAACTACTACTCCCATGGTGCATCTCAGTCAGTCACTGAGCTTTAGGGAGTGCAGGTGATGTCGTCGTAAACTTTGACTGCAGACGAATACTTTAGTCAAATAACTAACACCTGGGTAATTAAAATGAGCCCAGGCCGTAAACTTTTTTCATCACCTGGTAACCCAGTGAGTAGGAAGGTTAAACAGGAAGTAGAGTTAGGATGCTGTGGTTAAACAGGCAGTGGGTGGGGTTAATGCAGTAGGAGGCGGGGCTTACGAGGTGAGGACAGGTGTTAGGGTCGGGGTTAGTGTTGGGGCTGGCCCCCCCCCTCTGAGCATCTCTCAGCGCTGCGATCTGCTGCTCAGCTGCCTGCGTCTGCAGCTGCAGGCGGTGGGCGTGACCCGCCTGCAGACCCAGAGCTTTGTCCAGAACACTGACTGCTCGGTCCTTCAGCTTTATTTCATCCATCTGCACACAGACAGGCACATAGACAGGCACACATACTTTCTTTTATTTTTTTATTTAACCTTCATTCAACCAGATAAAAGCATTGAGATAAAATCTCATTTACAAAGCTGACCTGGCCAAGAAGGCAGCAACGTGACACAGAACACAGACATATAAAATACAGAGAACACAACTAAGTAAACAACAAGACATAAAGCAGTCACTACATTGAGCACATTAGGGACAGTAAGAAAGGTACACTACTTATTACTGCAAGAGCAGCTGGTGGTAAGGACCTCAGACAACTTCAATTTAAAACAGTACCGTACAGGCAGGCAGGTTAGAGACAAACAAGTTGGACAAAGATAGGTAGACAAGCAGATAGAGAGATGAACAGGTAGACAGACAGATGAGTGTTTTATTTGACGCATGATGGCCGGCCTCTCTGATTGGACGAGGAACAAGTGACTGTTTTTTTAAAGTAAATGCTTTTGGGGTTTCTATTGGCTGAAAAGGCGTTACACCACGCAATAAGCAGTATAAACAGGAAGTCTGGGACGGTGGTGCAGCAGGAGAGACGAACGGTGGACTCAAACCGCCCGACACAGCGCCAACCACACGTTAATTTAAACAAAGAGTGGTGGGAACCATAACCTCATCGTGGTGCAGAGGTTCCTCTAGGAACCATAACCTCATCGTGGTGGAGAGGTTCCTCTACACCAGGGGTGCCCAACCTGTCGATCACGAGATGTGTCTAAAAATAGAACAACAATATTCTGTTTTATCGTTAATGTCCTGTAACACAATCTTCCTGTGCCAGAATAATGCACTTGAACACATCAAAGCTTTGTGATTGGCGTGACCCCATGTGTCGGGGCGTGGCTGGTGGGCACTAGTTCGCTGACGTTGTCCGAGGCAACAGGAGTGACAGTCCGCACACACACAAGACCGCAATTATGGCAGAAGCAAAAAAGCCCAAAATATATAATTTTCACTCCGAGTGGGAGGATGATTATTTTTGTATCTATTCCAATTCAAAGTCCATCTGTTTCATCTGCAATGCGAGCGTGGCTTTATCGAAGAAGGGTCATTTAGGAGCGGCATTTCAAAACAGTGCACAAACGCTACGAGACGGAATTCCCTCCTAATTCTGCCCTACACTCTTCTGTTCGTTGCGTGCATATGTAACAGAGTTAAACATGTGAATACATCATTAGGCCTATAAGTTTGTTAATGTTTAATTCATAATAAGTTGTGAATTTTAAGAGATGAGATTGTTTCATTTAATATTTTAAGTTTTGTTTCCCGTGGGAACACCGTCCCGTTGCACGTCTTTTTTTACTTCCGGTATGTATTTTCCACCCTCCGGACTGGCCATCTGGAGAATCTAGAGAATCACAGAACGGCCGGTCGTCAAGGGCCGACTCAATTCGCTGGCCGTCACCGCCCTTCATTTTTTATGTTTTTAAAAGGCACCATTGAAGTTGCACCGAGAGGTCCGCCGTTTCCCCGCAGTGAGGCTCCCCCCCAGTTGACAGTTCGCTAGCACCCCAGCCCCCCCCCCCCACTTCTCTATTTGGACTGGTAGATCTCGGCAGACTGGCATCTTTAAAAGTAGCTCTTGGTTAAAAAAAGGTTGGGCACCCCTGCTCTACAGGAACCATCACCTCATCGTGGAGAGGTTGCTCTACAGCAGGGTTGCCAACTCTCACGCATCTGGCGTGTGACACATGCTTTCACTCTCAATCTCACGCTCTAACGCTGCCCAAACTCACGCCAAAAACAAGATGAACCGGTGTTGCGACCTGGCTCAAAAGGCCACAACAAAAAGGAGACACAACATGTCAACGGGTAGGTAAAGGTGTTTATTTGCACAACACTGGTCAATTCAACACATTGGTTATACTCATCAGAGCCGGGTGCCTGCAGGAAAACAGAGCGAGAGCAGACAGGAGCAGAGAGGCTTTAAAATAGCTGCAGAGCACCAGACCCAGGTGCCCTGAGTTAATGCAATCACTGCAATCAATGCAGCCAAGACAGGACAGCCACACCCTCTCCACTGATGAACCCACAGGGGCATCACAGCCCCCCCCTTAAGACGGAGGCCCCAAAGGGATCCCCGAAACAACACCAAATATCCAGAGCCAGAGAGACTCCCTACCCCACCGGGGCACGAGAGAGAGCATCCGCCACAACGTTGTCCTTCCCCTTAATGTGCCGAATGTCCAAACTATAGGACTGCAGGAACAGGGCCCACCAAGTCAATACAGTCCTCCATCCGTGGCAACGGGTAAGAATCTGTTTTTGTCACCTTATTAACCTTACGATAGTCGTTACAAAACCGCGGAGACCCATCTGATTTGCCAACCAGCAGACTAGGCGACGCCCAACTGGAGAACGACTGTACGGCAATCTGATTGTCCAACATGTACTGGACCTCAGCCTCCAGCACCCTACGCTTATCTGCAGGACAACGGTAAAATCGCTGCTTAATTGGAGGACTGTCCCCCACGTCGATATCATGCTCCACGAGAGTTGTGCACGATGGCGTATCGCCGAACAGTACCACAAACTTCCCGATTAAAGTCGCCAATTCATCTCTCTGTGCTGCCGGTAAGTGACTCAACAAGCGATCCAATTGGCATAACGACTCCGAATTCCTCAGCCTACCAGACATAACAGGTTCATCTGGTGCCTTAACATCACACTCCTCAGCCAACCCTCGATCTGAAAGCACAGAATCAACCATCATTATGGGGCCCACACCCAACTTTTTAACCATGAACATAGTACGGTTTCAGGAGGTTGACGTGACACAGTTGAGACAACTTCCTCCCATTTGGAGTAGCAATCAGGTAATTTTGATCTGACACTTTACTCTCAACAGTGTACGGGCCGGCAAACTTGGCTTTGAATGGTGAAACCTGCAGTGGCATCAAAGCCAACACCTGATCCCCTGGGCTGAATTCACGATACTCGGCTTTACGGTCATAGAGTCTCTTCATATTAGCCTGAGCACCAGCTAAATTTTTCCTTGCCATTTCCACCGCTACATACAGGCGATGACGAAAGCCCTGTATATAGTCCACTAAATTTTTAGGTGGCTCACCCTCAACCAAACCATCCTGGAGAACAGATAACACCCCACGCACCTTATGCCCAAAGACCAAATCATTAGGGCTGAACCCTGTACTTTCCTGAACGACTTCCCTGGACGCCAACATGAGCCATGGAAGTCCCTCCTCCCAGTCCTTCCCCATTTCCATACAATAAGCACGCAGCATGGACTTCAATGTTTGATGAAACCGCTCTAGCGCCCCCTGGCTTTGGGCATGGTAAGCCGACGCACGGTTATGCCTGACCCCCAGCTGCTGTAGAATCTGTTTGAACATATGGGAAGTAAAGTTGGTACCCTGGTCGCTTTGAATCACACGTGGGATCCCAAATGTGGAGATGAACTGGGTTAAAGCCCTAACTACTGGCCTCACTGAAATGGAGCGCAAGGGAAACGCTGCAGGATACCTTGTAGTCTGGCACATTATAGTAAGCATGTACGCACAACCGGACTTAGATGGAGGCAACGGCCCCACACAATCTATGATCAAATGCTCAAAAGGTTGACCAAGGGCTGGAATGGGACTGAGGGGTGCAGGCTTCACCACCTGACTTGGTTTACCAGTGAACTGACATATGTGGCATGCTTTAATATAACTTGCAACATCGCGCTTTAACCGAGGCCAGAAAAAATAGCGTAGGACACGGTCATAGGTTTTTTTTATCCCCAAATGTCCCCCACTATCATGCGCAGTTTGCAATATCACATCACGAAAGCTACTCGGCACCACCACCTGAAAAATTGCCTCCCCCACAGCATCACCAACACAGGGCACCCACTTACGCACCAGCAAGTCCCCCTGAACAAAGTAACCCTGGGCTATGTCTCTGACCTTCTCTGCCGGCAACACTTCAGTCCACAGAGCAGAAAGAGATGAATCGTCCCTCTGACTCCTGACCCAGTCCTCCTTTGACACCGACGAAGGGAGATCAGGCAGTGAGACCACATGTACCACATTACTTTTGCTACACTCCGAAACATGTGGGTCAGCAGACATTTTACGGCTCTGTGCACGTGTCACAGCACAAACTGGAAACACACTTGGAAACTGCAAACCACTCTCATCTGGCTCCCCAGATGCCACCGGCCTGGAAACCACCACAGGCGGTGGAACACCAGCCCACACAGCACTACCAGCGAGATCGTTGCCCAAAATCATATGTATCCCATCGAGTGGCAATGCGGGACGCACACCGATAGACACAACCCCCCGCACCAGTTCGCAATCCAGCACTATTGTATGCCGTGGCACAGGGATCAAGCCCATCTCCATGCCCCTCATCAGCATAAAATCCCCCGTTTCTGTCTCTGACGAAAAAGGCAACACTGACTCAACAATGAATGAGTATCTAGCCGCTGTATCACGCAACACCTTAATCGGCACATATTTGTCACTACCGACTACTGATACTACCGCTTCAGTGATGAACGGCTCAAAACCAGAACCCGCAGCCGGGTCGGCACAAACCGGCTTCTTATCAGGCACCATGCCCGAGCCTACACCCAACGGTTTTTTATCCACCACGGCAGAACAACACATGGCTGGAGCATGTGGTGACAAACGAGGCTTCCCCTTCGTTTCCAGCAATGGACACTGCTCCTTCCAATGACCCCCACCTTTGCAATAGTGACATTGGTCCACTTTGGCCCCCTCGGGTCGCCCTGTACCTGCAAATCTACGGGAGGAGCCTGGTGAAAACTTTGCACGGGCATCTCCATTGTCTTCTCCACGTTTCCAATCACCCCTAGAATATTTCTCCGCAAAACTGCCCTTATGTGTCAACACAAAATCGTCCGCTAATTCAGCAGCTCTAAACGCGGTGGGAGGGTTCTGTTCATTCACATACGTGGCCACACGCTGAGGGAGAATGTTTTTAAATTGTTCCAAGACAATGAGCTCACAAAG